AGACATCAAACAGCTAACCGAACCGACTAGTGGTCAAGAAAAAAGTTCTTTTTCAAGAACAGCAGTCATTCCTTACTTGCATAAGGTGTCACATTGTTTAAAAAAGGTAGCACAAAAAGCTGGAATCAGAGTTGTTTTTTCAGCCAGAAATAAGTTCTCTAGTATGTGCCATCAGGTGAACAGAGAGGACAGAGGGCCACGCGTGTGTGATAAAAAACACGCAATCAAGTTTGTTGAATGTTGTTTTTGTGCCATTTATGAAATTCCCCTCTCTTGCGGCCGCTGTTACATCGGGCATTCTGGCCGCTGTATAAATGACCGCCTCAGGGAACACCGCAATCTAATGCGGGGTTCTGTTGGCAGCCACTTAGCTGCGCACAGCTCCATTTGTGGATGCCGTGCATTGTTTGACAAATGCAAGATACTTCGACGCTACAGAGATAAAAGGACACGTGAGATTTATGAGGCATTCTGCATAATCAAGAAAGGCGATATGTGTGTCAGTGCACCTTCGATAACGCTCCTCACCAGGGAATTGGCGTATTTGACAAGCGAATGATTGCGCAATCACAGTTTATTTGTTATACGCATACAATCATAACAAAAATTACTCTTTCATGTCACTCGACTTCTCTCCCTCTTTTTTCAAGTTTCGTGTGCTATATATACACCCCTGTACGAAATAAATTTTTGGTTGTAAGTCAGCGCCTCGTCCGTCTCTTCTCTGTCCTGTGTCCTGTGTTACGCGCTGTTTTTTCACTTCGTTGAACTGCTCTAAGCATACATTTTAGTCAAGTAACAAACTGGCAATAAGCAGCGTCAAGCAACGTTTTTGTAAGCTCCATTGAGTTGAAACTGCAGGAAGAAGGCTCGAAGTCGGTGAAAGAGGGACGGGACACGCCGCATTGAACGTGAAAAGTCACCGAAGGCGCCGAGAACCGTGATTCGAAAATGTCATCACAACGTAATGACGTCACACGCCGTCAGAAGTTGCGGTCATCATGATTGTAAATAATGTGACATCACCTATGGAATGCCACCATTAGTTGAGGAATGGCGAGACGGTGCCCAGCCGAGGGACTGCAAAATAACCTTGGGAGAAGAAAGCTTGTCGGAGTAAGGAAGAAGGGAGGGAGGAATGAATGCAATTGACTGCAAAGGGAAAGCATTTTGGATCATGTGACCTAATTCTTGGTGCGAATGAGGGATTTATTAGCCTCAGGTCAACCAGCTGCTCTAAAATTATGGGCAAGTTTTAAATAAGTAATGATATTCATTCCATCAAACCACTTTGGTCCGCCACTAGTAGGGAAACAGTGCCATTTCGGGGCAAAGGTGTCTTTTTTTTATGTACGGCGCATGGAATTTCCCCCACTCGTTAGGTTAGACATATAAGGTATAGTCATGCAAAATGAATTCATGTGACTACACGCAATGAAGAGTTTTTACATTTATGCGTTTTTCCCATTCTTCTTATGACACACATCACTGAGCAGTGGTAGCAATAAACATGTTGCTTCTCGTACAGAGAAAAAAATTTAATTAACAGATAAGTATTCAAATTTACTACCGGCGTGATTCCACTTAGATCATTGGCAGCATGTTATCATTGTGATGAGGAAAGCCAGCCTATTAGTGATCTCTCGGGCATACCTGCAAATAGATTTTCGAGTGATTTTTCATCTATGATTTCTCAAACTTGCAGTCCACGCTTTCGAAGCGAATACGTGTAGGTCACATACTACGAAAAATTGACCGCATATGTGCGTGATTTGCTGATAATGTCGTCAAAATACGACAGGTTTCATCTGGCCAAGCAGCCATTCATGTTTTGCGTCGCCTCAGACAGCGCCTCCTTTTGTTGAAACGCACGGAGGAAGGAATGATAAAAGAGGGCATGCCCAGCCGGTGTGCTATGTGAAAAGTGTGGAGGAAATGGCACCATGGCGGCCATAATCACTGGGCACAATGGCGGTGTTGCTATGGTTACGTGTTTTGCAGTGTAGCTGGTCTGGCAGTGAGCGGCCACGGTTGGCAGCAGCATGTGTGCCTCCACAGGTCTCGTGCTGAGCCGTAACGGACAATATTCGTGTTCTGCGCCACGTTATTGGTTGCGCAGTGTTCTGCTGGCAGTTACTGTATTCTTAGCAACGTTTAAAAAACCTTTCGTCCACTACGGGGCCTGAACAGTGCGTAGAACAAGCGCATATCCATGTGTCGTGCGGTAGATGACGTGTATGAAGCATTTGAAGTGTTCATAGAAATTGCGTTGGGCACCATGCATGACGAAGCGGAACGACGACAAACGCCTTGCAGGTCAGTGGCGGTTGGGCAGTGCTCCTGCTTGTGGCAAAGGACAAAACTGCTGTGCCTAACAAGATGCAATGAGGACCATAAGCACATACGTAGTTTCGTGTTCGGTATGTGTACGGTAACAACTTCCATGTGCGTAATAAAAAACCTTATTGTTCTGCTTGTTATACTCGTCCCCTTCGTTGTAATCTGAAAGTTAAAGCAACCTCGTTCAAGTGTCACTTGCACCGTGCTCAAAGTCACCCTTGTCGCAGAATTGTGACGCCGGTGAGTTTCACGCGGAACACGGGCACAGTGTCCGGGCGCTGCGTCGGCCTCCTGTAGGAATGCAACCGCAAAAAAGACGCACGACCGATCGTGATGTCTGTACAGTTGCTCAATTCATGACGTGAAAACGCTCGCCGTTGTCAGCGCATCTAGCGCGCGTTTTTTTTTGTACTTGCTTCTTTGGCGGCGAGCCGTTACTCGCTGTTACTTGGGCGAAATGATTTCGCCGAAAGTGTCGCGCAGGCCCAGAGTGTTGAGCCCCATTCCATTAGTTTCGGATCGTCACGACACGCGCGCTGCGCAGCCCACGTGCTTTCCGAGCCTTAGAGGGAGTCGCGCCTTCTGCTTTGCATTCATATGTAAACAAGAGAGCTAAACTTGCCCAGTATATGGCCGACTTCCGGCTTCACCGCAGCTTCACAAGGAGTGACGTCAGGGCATCTCCTACCTTTTCTTCCTTCATGTTGAAATGACAACATCTGTTTGGCATGCGCCCCGCCACGTTGGTCTAGTGGCTAAGGTACTCGGCTGCTGACCCGCAGGTCGCGGGATCGAATCGGGGCGGCGGTGGCTGCATTTCCGGTAGAGGCAGAAATGTTGTAAGGCCGTATGCTCAGATTTGGGTGCACGATGAGGAACCCCAGGTGGTCAAAATTTCTGGAGCCCTCCACTACGGCGTCTCTCAGAGTCATATCGTGGTTTTTTGATGTTAAACGCAACAAATCAATCAATCAATCTGGTTGGCATTGATAAGACACGGGAGGTGCTTCATGAGATATGAACGCCTTATATCAATGTCATCGGGAAACGTGAGCTTGTGCAGAACTCAGACCAACTTCTGATTTTTGATTTGATTTTTGATAAACAATATGTTCACAAGTATGAACGCAGCCACCAGTTCAAGAGGGCTGGACGTTAAGCAGGAGATCAAACTTTGCCCCGGTGGATGAATTGCGTGACAGACAGACAGACAGACAGACAGACAGACAGACAGACAGACAGACAGACAGACAGACAGACCGACCGACCGACCGACCGACCGACCGACCGACTGACCGACCCTCTAAGTGGCGCTTCGTGGAGGCGACGACCTTTAGAGCACGCCCGACGTGAGCCTGTCATGCCATCTTGCCACTGATAACGAAAACGAGCTAAAGCTTCCATGCTCTGTGATATATCGTAGATTATCAGGTGCACGCGCCGAAGAACATACCGATAACACGTGCCTCCACCCCTCGCCACGGCGCATGCTCTGGCCTCGGGCCAGGGTATTAAAACCAAGACAGCAGCCTCGTGAATAAACATTGTTCCTTCTTGTTCTGGCCATGCATCGTCTTATTCTTCGCCCTTACGATACTACAGTGGCGACGAGGGTGGGATCCGGTTAATTGCACTCCGACGCTGAGACCAGAAGAATGGGATCCCGACCCCCTGCCTTCGACGACGCCGTGAGTAGCTGGAGCACGTATCGTGTCCGGTTGGAAGCCTACTTTGAGGGCAACGATATTACCGACGTAGCGAAACGCCGGGCCCTACTGGTTTCATCGTTGAGCGACAGTGTCGTCCGGATATTGCAAGGGCACCAGCCGGGGGTCGCCATCAACTCCTTGACGTACGATGACGTTGTGAAATGCTTGGAAGAACATTTCAACCCTCAGGCAAACGAAATAGCAGCAAGCTATTCTTTCTTTATGCGAAAACAAGATGAGCAAGAAAGCGTCCGGGACTACATTGCTGAACTGAGAAGACTGGCCGTAAATTGTAATTTCGGGGCGACACTGGACCGTATGTTGCGGGACCGAATCATTTGTGGGATTCGGGATGAGGAAACTCGCCGGTGCCTGCTGGGCCGCAAGAACTTGACTCGTGAAGAAGCCGAAGAATTCGCCTTAGCTTCTGAGAAAGCGAACGAAGACGCTCGGGGCATGCGTACTTCATACGCCCGGACCGAAGGTGGCGGCGTCAACGTGGTACAGCAACAAGGCAGACAGTGGAGGAAGAATTGCAGACTTTCATGCGACAGATGCAAAGGGGCGCATGCAACGGCGTCCTGTCGACATCGCAGTTCCATATGCCATCAATGTGGTAAAAGAGGGCATCTTGTTAGGGCTTGCAAAAGACCCCACACCCCCAGGTCAGGAACGTTCGCTGTCGACGGAACCGAATGTGAAAGCGAAGAAGAGAGGTTGTATGCTCTCGTTGCACACAGCTCCGCCAATAAGCACTTGGTGCAGCCAATCGAGCGCACCTTAGCGTGGGAAGGCCGTAGGCTGCGAATGATTGTCGATACTGGATCACCAGTAAGCGTGATTCCCAAAAGCTTGTACAAGAAGCATCGCAAGTGGTGTCCGGCTCTGCAAAAAACTCCACTACGCCTTTCATGTTTCCTGGGACCGTTGCCGGTCGTTGGCAAGGTAGACATGCAGGTACAGCTTGGACCAGTAACGGTGAGCAGTTCGCTGATAGTAGTGGACCATCGAGGGCCCCTTTTGTGCGGAAGGGACACGATAGAGGAATTTCGCAAAGCAGGCATGTTGCTAGTAGAAGGCACGTCGTCTTCGGTGAATGTTGTTCACGCCGACAGCCAGCTAACCGCACTTCTTGACGGGTTTCCGGACCTCTTTGAGAACCTCGGATGCTGTAAGGAACCACCGGTGAAGCTGTACCTCAAGGAAAGTGCGCAACCTCGATTTCTGAAGGCTCGGACAGTCCCGTATGCCATGAGAGCGCAAGTCTCCGCCGAAATTGACCGACTGGTGGAAGTGGGCGTGCTGTCCCCAGTGAGCGTGGCTGAATGGGCAACACCGGTCGTGCCCGTAGCAAAGAAGAACGGAGACATCCGGCTGTGTGGGGACTTTAAGCTAACAGTTAATCCAGCGACAAGAACAGAGCAGTACCCGCTTCCGAAAATTGACGACATCTTTGCGGCGCTATCAGGAGGCGAAGTGTTCAGCACACTCGACTTACGAAACGCATACAACCAGCTTCCCCTGGATGATGATGCTAAGAAGATAACTGTGTTGAACACACACAAAGGCCTCTTCTGCTACAACCGCTTGGCTTTTGGCATTGCCTCAGCGCCTGCGCTGTTTCAGCGGCGCATAGAAGCCGTGCTGCAGGGTATACCAGGGGTGAAAGTTTACTTGGACGACATTATTGTAGCAGAAAAAGAGTATGACACAACGATACTGCGGCAAGTGTTCGAACGACTTCGGGCGAACGGCCTAACACTGAACAAGGAGAAGTGCCACTTCCGGGAGAAAGAAGTGGTATTTCTAGGGCACCGAATCGATGCAAAAGGCCTCCACCCACTGCAGGACAATTTGGAAGCAGTGCTAGCGGCACCGCCACCGACTTCGGTAAGCCAGCTTAAGTCATTCTTAGGACTGGTCACATACTATTCCAAATTTCTACCGAACTTGTCGTCCACTTTGGCCCCGTTACACCGACTCTTGTCTAAAGGAGCACTGTGGTGTTGGGGGCCCGCACAGAGAACAGCATTCCAAGAAACCAAGCGCGCCATGAGAAGGGCGAACTTTCTTGTGCATTACGACCCCCAAAGACCCTTGCGGCTTGAGTGTGATGCGTCGGCCGAGGGTATAGGCGCAGTTTTGTCGCACCGCATACAAGGAGTGGATCATCCCATAGCGTTCCGCTCGAGAACTCTAACGTCGGCGGAACGTAATTATTCACAATTGGAAAAGGAGGCACTAGCGCTTGTCTTCGGCGTGGTAAAATTTCGAGATTATTTGTTTGGCAACAAGTTTACTCTGGTGACCGATCACAAGCCTCTGACTGGTTTGCTAGGTCCAGATAAACCCATTCCGCAAATGGCAGCGGCCCGCATTCAACGTTGGGTGCTGCTCTTAGCAGCTTATCAATACGACTTGGAATACAGAAAAGGAGAGCTAAATGCAAATGCCGACGCTCTAAGCCGGTTGCCATTACCGGTTCGCGATAATGGCTGGGAAAATGAACTAGCCGAATATGTCCTGCATGCGCAGGCTATGGATGATTTTGCTTTGTCTGCGCAGAGTATTTCAGACCACACCAGCAAAGATGACGTACTTCAGCAAGTGAAGACTTGGATCTTGCAAGGCTGGCCAAGGCGTCTCGGTTCAGAGGAACAGCAGTACCAACCGTATTTTGCACGGAGGCATGAATTGGCCGTGAGTAACGGGATACTCTACTGAGGCCACCGTGTGGTTCTGCCTAAAGCTGCCCGGCAATTTGTTTTGAAATAGTTGCACGATACGCACCCAGGCATGACGGCAATGAAGAACCTCGCGCGCTCAATTTTCTGGTACCCAGGGCTAGACGATGAAATTGAAATGCTTGCAAAACGGTGTCCCCAATGTGTGCAGTGTTTGCCCATGCCCCCAGCGCAGGTCCCGGCAAACTGGCCAAAGAACAGACGGTGGTACCGCCTACACGTGGATTTTGCTGGTCCCGTGGAAGGGCATATGATCTTCGTTCTCGTCGACGCCGAGACTAAGTGGATCGAAGCAGTGCCCTTGAAGACGGCGACAGCAGCGACTACGGTAGACACACTTAGGTGCATTTTCGCGCGATTTGGCATACCACGGACTGTCGTGTCGGATAACGGTCCGCAATTCACCAGTGCAGAGACAGTGTGGTTCTTCCGGGAAAATGGGGTGCGCTACGTAACGACGGCCCCATACTACCCGCAATCCAACGGTTTGGCGGAACGGGCAGTACGCACCATCAAGGAGGGCCTGAAGAAAAATCAGGTGGGAACGCTGCAAAGTCGGCTTGCCAAATTTTTGTTGCGTTACAGGACCACACCGACCCGAGAGGAGCAGTCGCCCGCGGAAAGGCTTTTTGGATTCCAACCACGAACCCGCCTGAGCACCTACCTGGCAGAGGAAGACGGGGCGAAGAGGGAGGCTACCGTCAACGGAGTGCCGAACTCTGGAAAGAAAGAGTTTGCACCAGGAAGGGAGGTGTGGAGTCGACAGTACAGTCAGCTAGGTCAAAGGTGGCTACCCGGAACCGTGACAACAGTCGAAGGCAAGCGATTGTTAACCGTTAACACGCCAAGGGGGGTGCAACGTAGACACGTCGATCAAGTACGACCACGCGACTCGTCGACACCGGTTAAGAAAGAACCGTGCGAAACGCCAATTGCCATGGAGCAATTGCCACTCTCATCCAGCGGCATCCAGTCAACTAGCAGCGAAGCCCTTCAGGCCGGTCTGTCCGAGCCTGGTGAGGAAGCGTCTGGCGGTGGCATCGAGCCAGCAAGTCCAAGGTCCACGGCAGAACCACTCCGACTCCGACCAGCAAGTCCAAGGTCCACGGCAGAACCACTCCCACTCCGACGCTCCACCCGTGCCCGCAAGCCGCCGGATAGGTTCTAGCTCAGAGGGGAGGAAGTGCTATATCGTAGATTATCAGGTGCACGCGCCGAAGAACATACCGATAACACGTGCCTCCACCCCTCGCCACGGCGCATGCTCCGGCCTCGGGCCAGGGTATTAAAACCAAGACAGCAGCCTCGTGAATAAACATTGTTCCTTCTTGTTCTGACCATGCATCGTCTTATTCTTCGCCCTTACGATACTACACTCTGAGGACTGCCAAACGGTTTGTGGTGCACATAAATGGCTTGCCGTTAGCTGTTCAGACAACGTGCGTTTCGTGGCGTATATAGTTGTTAGCGCCACGCGCTGAGAATTGAGAGGTTGCTGGTTTGACTCCGAGTGACCAACGCTTACCTCCTGGCTGTTTCCCTTGCAATCTCTTAGTATACACCTTACAACGTCACTTTCTTGATGAAAGTACGTCAGTGGAGCTGTGGTGGACTCCAGCATAAAACACTTTTGCGTAAAAAAAACAACAGAAACCGCGCAGTATCGCGCATAAGTCAAAACGCACCCCTGCGTTCTGACCCATGCGTGGCTGGCTAGGCCAAGCTTGACCGCGCTGCCCCTGCGTCCGCAATGCTCCGGGCGCTGCAACTGTGCCGGAGCCAGCCAGCCGGCGAGCCGTGACGTAGCTGACGTCCCCTCACACTGGGCGGAGGCCTGGTCAAATATAACATTGTTGGGTTTGGTCGGGAATGTCATGCGCACAAGACCATTTACTCGGAAGCCGGACAGGATATAGGGAAGATATTTGGCTTGCGAAGGCTACGCGGGGCGAGCGGCAAGGATTTCGAGCTCACTTCCTTGCGTCATCCTTTCGCCTCGCTTGAAAATACCAGCTTTCTCAGCTTGTAATGAACCAACCAAACTTTTTTGTGGCGTAATGCTCTTCATCAGACTCACAACAACTGCCAAGGTCTCACTAAATTTTGTTATGGGGCCTAGTTAGTGGCCCTTTAAGGTGCACCAAATTCAAGTAGACGCGCATTCGCATTTTCACTTCAATAGAAATGTATCAGCCGCAACCACCGTTTCATCCCACGCCCCGTGGGTCAGCAATCACGCACCATAACCACTCAACCATCGCGGATGATTCATTTACCTAAATGATTGCATGAGGACTTAATTTCTTTTTTGGGCTACCTTTCCCTGTGAAAGTTACGAGTAACGCTACCTAGATAGACAGCAGTACTTTGAGATATAGTCAGATCAAACACGAGGGTTTTTGTAAATGATAGAGGCTAGTTAGGCCCACAGATATTCACATGATTCAACAGTATCTTGCGAACGTTCCACGGCTTACAGCTCTTCCATAGTTGAGTACGAAGTACTCAAAGTTGTCGAGCACTTTCCTATCCACACAGACGTTGGTTGGTTCATTTTATGCACTGCGACGGCTTTGTGCTCTCCCACAGTAGAGTACCAAGTACTCTTAATTGCAAAACATTTTCTCTACGTAGATCTTGGAATAGCACCCACTCGAGTCTACGTCAATTTGAGGATTCTGCAGTTGCTGTCAAGCACATATAGCATTTTACGTTGTGTTAATGTTTCTAAATTAGGAACGTAGTTACAACTCCGAACTGCTTTGGCTATTTGGTGTTCTCAACATTCTTAACTGATACAAAATATTTAAGTGGGGCGCCACAAATTTTCATTATTCCTGTTCATAAAAGAGACCATAAATAATTTACAGCTTTAAAGTTTGTATTGCCAATACAACATGGGACTATAGGTTTGAGAAGTGGAGTATAAACTCATTTTTTGTGCATGAGCCTGGAAAGGCCAACGAAAATGCAATATAATGTAGTAGTGTAATTTATACGTGCCTGCTAAGAATTGACATTGTGCAGCACTCGCCACAGAGACAAGTGGACGTACGCAGTTCTATGAAACAAAGCTCTGGGCATTCTAAATTAGTTGAAAGCAGAGACCCATGGTCGTTCGAACAGTGTCGGTAGCCTACAAACACCAGATTGAACTGCTTCTTTTTCGAGATTTATTGCGCGCAGTGGTTGCTTTATGGTGTCAGGCCCCAAAACAGAAGCGCACGAATCCCCGAATTGACGTTATACAAGCGGCGTTCGCAGCACCGCCATCAGTCGCACGCGAGGCCATTAGGGCTCCTTGTCCGCTAATAAATACGATAAAATTGCGTCGTTGAAGTTTTTGACTAGTCAAATTTACTCTAGAAAATAAATATTAGGAGGACATTATCAACAGTTTCAAAGCTGCATGAGATTCACCGATTGAATGGAGAAATACCATTCACGGCTTGAATGGTCTGTCTGTCTGTCTGTCTGTCTGTCTGTCTGTCTGTCTGTCTGTCTGTCTGTCTGTCTGTCTGTCTGTCTGTCTGTCTGTCTGTCTGTCAAAAGAAATGAATCGGTTACTAGCATCCTCGAATCATTGGGGAAACCACTCTTGACATTGACCCTTCCCATTTTTTAGGGGCAAAGCTCTTTATAGCGGCATTCGTTCGTTCCTCGTAGCCGTTGTAATATGTAACAAGTATAAAATTTTGACCTCGAAGGTGGTGCCGGTGAGAGATTTATTCTGCGCGTTGCTGAACAATAAAAAATAGTGCTCAATGTACATGCCAATGGCTGCTAATGGGGAATGAGAGACAGGAGCATTCGGCTTTTAGTAAACGCCACGCTGCGATCCCCATTAGCAGCCATTGTCATGTACATTGAGCACTATTTGAGAAGAAAGGGTTGCTACGTTATACTCGCTGGGTGTAACCTTCTTAGTTTTAGAAAGGTTTAGCGAGCTTTGAGCCGCAGTGCCATGAATACAATGAAATAGTATATACCATGAATGAAGTCGCGGTGGTTAAAGGTGGGTAGTATATACGAAGTGCAAGCCGTAAGAAAGTAAAAGCTGAATTATCCTGTCTCTCATTTCCCAATAGCAGCCATTGGCATAAACTTTGAGCACTATCTGATAGGAAAAGGTTGCTACGTTATACTTGCTGGGCGTAACCTCCTTGGTTTTAGAAAGGTTTAGCGAGCGTTGGGCCGCAGTGCCATGAATACAGTGAACTAGTTTAGACCATGATCTCGAGGTGGTTAAAGGTGAGAAGTAGAACCAAAGTGCAAGCAGTTAGAAAGTGTGCACGTGCCACCTCTCGTTTAGTCCTTGGAATGTCCGCCGGATGACGGTGCTTCTATATGGCGAATAGGGAGCCTTCATATGTGCGCGTCTCCGTGTGTTAGGGTGGTAACAACTCCGATCATGGTTGCTTACAACTGACTTAAACGGCCCCCATACTTGACGGGCCTCCATGTTGGTTCTGAGTGGTCGCTCATTTACAATGACGGCAGCGTGGGTTTCAATGAGAAGAGGGAATTTTTTGTATAGCAAGTGCTGAAGGCTGAAGGGTTGTTTTCTGAGGTTACCAGTGGTTTCGTGAAACAGGAAAGACATGTTCGTGACTCGAGTTTGTATAAAATACTGTTAAAACAGTTTCGTTTTTCCCACTTGGTAGACCCACCGCATTGGCGGAGTGAGGTTATTTAGGGAGTCTATATTTGCGAGGGGAGAACCTCGATGTCACTATGAATGGACTTCAATGCATGCGCGCCATTCAGGAAGCATAATCACCTTAGCACTGCAAATACCTCAAAGGCCTGTTGGTGCAAGGCTCGAAACCGTGCTGTTTATATGATGGAACTCGTAACGACTTGAAAGGCAGAACGAACAACCGGGCAGCTCGCGATGTTTTCTGTAAACCGAAGAGCTCAGCTAGCCTGTTTCTCATACCCCAAACATTGCGTTTCTCCGTAATATATTTTCCTACAGCAAGTTTAGTTCCTGCGAAGGAATCTGTACAATGACTGCTTAAAACCTTACAAGCTGTAGGCATTGCCCGAAAAAGTAGGGCATTCAATCACATTACACCGCCCTCCCCCTATGCCCACAAAATGTATATTAGGCTAGAAGAAAAGCAAAGGGGAGCAACGAGAGACAAATAGAGTTTTTCCAGGTCATATTTTATTGCAAACAGCATCCAAACGGCATCTGGCCTTGTGTCTTCAAACCATCCTACCTCCTTTGCTGGAAGCTTGTGTCCTCACAGTGGGCCTAGAGTAAAGCAATAAGACGAAAAATCATACACGGCTCCGACCACATATACGGAGTCTATACACATTTTCTCTACAAACGCTAACTAAAAGCGGAGTTTACGAAATCAAATCATCTGTGTGTCTGGTTATGAAACAAAAGGACGACACAAATAACGATGCACCAAATAGGGCATATTTGAGTTATGGGCTTACAACCGGCTTGCTTAGTGCACATATACTGCTCCTTTCAGGACCGACAGATAGACAGAAAAATGGAGGGACACGAACAGTAAATTTGTCGCATTCTATGTTATTAAAGATAAGTCCTGTTAGCAATTATTGAGAGAGTTTCGGTGTGGTTGCGCGTGTCATTGCAGCGAAGAACGAATACCCCATGGCAAGCCGCACAAAGAGTTAGTTGCGTGGCAACTGTGCAAGACAAGCGCCTACAGGGAACGCGTTCATCGGCTCGTCTGTCTACCTCTCCAAATGCCCTTCCTCAGCAACCGAGGTAAAATTTCAGGAATGCGAACATCTGTCAGCAAAGGAAGAGTTCAACGGGAGCGTCTGTAGGTGGTTTACGGGCCTGGCGTTTTCCGCGACGAATGCAGCGACGGCTTCGGCAACCGACAAAGTGCAGATAGTGAATGCATGCAGGACCACACATTCGACTAGTCATATCATTCGATTAAGGAACTGCGCTTTGACCACAAGAATAAACAAGCATACTCAACCATCTACCGCTCGCACAGCGTAGCCGAACGAAGCACAATTCATTATTATAATGTGCACGTTGTCGTGCTTACTTTGCTCAAACTGCTTTTTGTTGCATGGCTAAGCCAGTCATTTCACGAAATGTGCGGTGATATACTCAACCCACTCGCAATACAACGCTTACTCACCTCACAAACAGGGCGAGAAGTAGTCGCCTCCAAGCAGT